TGGTGCTGGGGAGAAAAGGGCTCTACCTATTTGCTGTTGATCTGCCCTGAGGAGTTTGTAGGCAGCCACCAGGTCTCCCCTCAGCCTCCTCTTGCTGAGGCTGAACAGGTTCAAGTCCTTCAGTCTCTCTTCGTACGGCCTGTCCTGCTGCCCTCTCACCAAGCGGGTGGCCCTCCTCTGAACCCTCTCCAGGCTGGCCACATCCCTTTTGAAGTGTGGTGCCCAGTAGTGGACACAGTACTCCAACTGCGGCCTGACCAAAGTCGCATAGAGGGGGAGTATCACCTCTCTGGACTGGCTTGAGATGCACCTTTGGATGCATGACAAGGTATGGCTGGCCTTGCATTGGCGGCTCATGTCCATCTTGGAGTCAATAATGAATAGAGGATATCAAACAACAAGAATGTACTTTTTGTTGAAAACAATGATTAAATCAAGGCTTCCTGACCAATTTAATTTAAATCAAATCCGCCTTGTTTAAATTAGAAACCGGCCATGTCCAGGGCCTGGCAAAAGGGTTACATATTTATATTATGTAGAACAGGACAGTAAAAATGTGTGCCAGTAAAAAAAAGTTTGGTCAGCTGGAGAGGCTGGAGGCAGTTAAGGCAAAACCTTAACTATTAACCTTTAACTGTAGCTCCAAATGGATTACAGTCACAGTCAGAGGCAAACCAACCTGGGGAGTTCCCTCCTAGCCAAGTCACTTGGGAAGGGAGTCTCACCCACAGCTGCCACCCAGGGACTCCACCACTTGTGGTCCAAAAGAAATTCCTTATTCAAGCCAGTTTACTTAGTGCAGTGGGCATGGCATGAAGAAACCACACTCTGGCTCAGGCAAGACTCTGGTCAGGGGTGTCCAGGAGAGTCACCTAGTGCCACAGAGGCATGGTGTGGGGTGGCACAAAAAGGATTTGCAATGATAATCTCAGGCCAAAACCCAGTTCCTTATTCAAGCCAATATACAGTACTAGCAAATTGCCTGTGAAGAATGACCGGGAGGGCACAGGTACAGAGCGCCCCCCGCAGACACTTTGGGTGTGACCCCAATCCCCTCCTCCCTCCCACCCCTTCAGTCCAGTCCCACTCCCACCCCCTCCCCAGTGCTTCAGGTCCGACCCCATTCCCCTCCTTCCCCCCACAGCCACTTAGGGTCTGCCTGGCCTGCATCTGCCTGCCTCCCTTCCCCTCATCTCCCTGTCCCTGCCAGTTGTCTGGCGTGGCATCCAGGATGCGAGACCACTGTGATACCCCACTGGCCCTCAGGCAGGAAGACAGGGGGCAGCCCGGCTGCTCGGATGGCTGGGGCATGTTCCCCACTGCCAAAATTCCCTGGCAGCGGTGCAAACTTGGGCCTGTGCAGCATGTGCTGCCCAGCCAATCGCTGCCCGCCCTCTCGGAGGTGCACACGCAGCTGTCTAGAAGCATTACGGACAGACGTGCAGACAGTCAGACTAAGCCTTTTATGATGTTAATGGATATGGGGGCTGCAGTTAGCAGCATGGCATGAAGAAACCACACTTTGGGCCAGGCAAGACTCTGGTCAGAGATGTCCAGGGGAGTCTACCAGTGCCACAGAGTCATAGTGTGGGGCGGCCAAGAAGGATTTCCATTTCTAATCCCAGCCCAAAAAGAGTTCTCTATTCAAGCCACTGTCCTTAGTACAGTCACTGGGGGCAGGGGGAAGAGGAGGGTGCTCTGAGTTGACAGCATGGCAGAACCAAATCACGCTTTGGGCCGGACAATACTCTGGTCGGGGATGCCTGAGAGAATTGCCCAGTGCCACAGTCATAGAGTGCGCTGGCCCAACAAGGACTTCCATCTCCAATCCCAGCCCAAAAAAGTTCCTTATTTGAGCCATTATACTTAGAACAGTGGCTGGGGTGCTGTCACATAGCAGCCAGGCACAGCCAAACCGCATTTTGGGTCGGGCAAGTCTCTAGTCAAAGATGTCCACGAGAGTCCTCCGGGGGCACAGAGGTATGCCATGGGGTGGCCCAAGAAGGATTTCTAGCTGTAATCCTAGCTCAAAAGCCTGTTCCTTATTTGGGTCCATACATCTAGCACAGTGGCTGGGGTGCTGTCAGTTAGCACCCTGGCATGGCCAAACTGCCTTTTGGGCCGGGCAAATTCTCTATTCAGAGATGTCTGGAAGCATTCCCCGCCCCTCCCCCCCATGGCACAGAGGTGTGGTCTGGGGTGGCCCAAGAAGGATTTCTGGGAACAATCCCAGCCCCAAATCCAGTTCCTTATTCAGATCCAAGTACTTTGCACTGTGGCTGGGGGGCTGTCAGTTGGTAGCCTGGCATGTCTAAGCCACGCTTTGGTCTGGGCAAGTCTGTCCTCAGCAATGTGCAGGAGAGTCCCCTAGTGCCACAGAGGCATGGCATGGGGTGGCCCAAAAAGGATTTCTAACTATAATCCCAGCCCAAAATCCAGTTCCTTCTTCAGATCCATATACTTCACACTGTGGCTGGGGGGCAGTGTCAGCTAGCAGCCCGGCACGCCCAAACCGTGCTTTAGGCCGGGTAAGTCTCTCATCAGAGATGCCCAATAGCGTCCCCTAGTGGCACAGAGACATGGTCTGGGGTGGCCCAAGAAGGATTTCTAGGTATAATCCTATCGCAAATTCTAATTCCTTATTCGGATCCATATACTTTGCACTGTGCTGGGCTGCTTTCAGTAGGCAGGCTGGCACAGCCAAACCGCACTTTGGGCCAGGCAAGTCTGTGGTCAGAGATGTCCAGGAAAGATCCCTGGTGCCACGAAGGCACAGCATGGGGTGACCCAAGAAGTATTTCTGGGTGTAATCTGAGCCCAAAATCCAGTTCCTTATTCAGGTCCAGATACTTAGCAGAGTGGCTGGTGTGGTGTCTGTTGGCAGCCTGGCATGGCCAAACTGCGCTTCAGACTGGGCAAGTCTCTGCTCAGAGATGTTCAGGACAGTCCCCCAGTGGCACAGAGACATGTTCTGGGGTGGCCCAAGAAGGATTTCTAGCTATAATCCCAGCCCAAAATCCAATTCCTTATTCAGGTCCATTCATTTAGCACAGTGGCTGGGGTGCTGTTAGTTGGCACCCTGGCACAGCCAAACCGTGTTTTAAACCGGGCAAGTTTCTAGTCAGAGATGTCCAGGAGTGTCTGCCAGTGGCACAGAGACATGTTCCAAGGTGGACCAAGAAGGATTTCTGGGTATAATCCCAGCCCAGATTCCAGTTCCTTATTCGGGTCCAGATATTTAGCACAATATCTGGGGGTGGCGTCAGTTGGCAGCCTGGCATGGCCAAACCGCGCTTTGGGCTGGGCAAGTTTCTGGTTGGAGATGTCCAGGAGAGTCCCCCAGTGCCACAGAGGTGCAGTCTGGGGTAGCCCAAAAAGGATTTCTGGGTGTAATCCCAGTCCGAAATCCAGTTCCTTATTCAATTCCATATACTTAGCACAGTGTCTGCGGGGTGGTGGCAGCTGTCAACCTCGCACAGCTAAACAGCGTTTTGGCCCGGGCAAGTCTCTGGTCAGAGATGTCCAGGACAGTCCCCCACTGGCACAGGGAGATGGTCTGGGATGGCCCAAGAAGATTTCTGGGTATAATCCCAGCTCAAATTCCCGTTCCGTATTCAGGCCCAGATACTTAACAGTGTCTGGGGGGTGGTGTCAGTTGGCAACCTGGTACGGTTAAACTGCGTTTTGGGATGGGCAGGTCTCTGGTCAGAGGTGTCCAGGAGCGTCCCCCGGTGCCACAGAGGTGTGGTCTTGGGTGGCCCAAGAAGGATTTCTGGGTATAATCCCAACCCAAAATCCAGTTCCTTATTCGGGTGCATACAGTCAGCACAGTGGCTGGGGTGCTGTCTGTTGGCAGCCTGGCACAGCCAAACCACACTTTGGACCGGGCAAGTCTCTGGTCACAGATGTGCAGGAGAGTCCCCCGGTCGTGCAGAGGTGTTCTGATGGGTGGCCCAAGCAAAGTTTCTAGCCATAATCCCAGCCCAAAATCCAGTTCTTTCATCAAGCCATTATACTTAGTATAGTGGGCATAGTCTCTTGGCCAGGGGGACTGTGAGTTGGCAGCCTGGTACAGCCAAACCATGCTTTGGGCCAGGCGGGACTGTGGTCAGGGTTCTTTGGGACAGTCCCCCAGCGGCATCACCATGAAATTTGGGGTGGCCCAAGAAATATTTTGCCCCATAATCCCATCCTAATCTGACCTCTGTTTAGGGCTCTGTACTTGACATGAAATATTATTTGACATATTAATTAGTGCATAGGCGTAGCTAAAGAAATTCTGTCTCTTTAGGATGTGTAATTAATTAATAACAAGATATTATTGGGTCTAGATTAGCTTTGAAAAAGGAACTGGGAATAAGGAACTGGGAGTAAGGAACCAACTTCAGCCTCATCTACACATTTTATTCATAGACTGCGAGGCTGGAAGGGACCTCGGAAGATCATCGGGTCCAGGCCTCTGCCCCAAGCAGGAAAGACAACCGGGGTCATGATGCGATTCGCCAGCGAGAGAGCTGCCTTGCCCGTGCGGCCGCTCTACGTTTATTGCGCGATTCACCAGCGAGCCGCGCAATGCGTGTAATGTGTGCAGGGCCCGGGCTCCTTCCCGCCTCGAGGAATGAGGCGCCCCGCCCGCCCCGCTCCCGGGCCCGGGGAGGGGCACCCAGCCTCTCCAGCCGCCGGGTAGGCGGGCAGGGCGCTGCCGGGTTACCTGGTTCCCCGGGGCCGAGAAGTCAACGACGCCCCGCAAGTCGAGCCCGTCGCGCCGCCGGTAGAAGCGGAAGAGGCGGCGGAAAGCATCCTCCCCGCCCTCGCGCGCCAGCGCCGCCGCCATCTTGTCCCCCGGCCGCGCCGGGCAGCGCCGATTGGTGGAGCGGTGTGCGGAAAGGTCGAAGGGGAAAGGTCGCAGCTCCTGCTTCCAAGATGGCGCCTAGGAGAAGGTTATATATGCTCTTCGTGAGGGGGCTCCCCTGGACTGTGGCGCGAGGTGAGGTCGGGGCTTTCCGCCTCTCTGCGCGGCCCTAGGGCGAGGTCCATGGGGCTGTTCGGGAGGCAGGATGTGGGTGGGGAGCGACCCCCCCGAGCTCCTGGTAGGGAGCGGAGCCCGCCCGGGGCGACCTCCTCTGGCCCTGGCCCTGGCCCGGGGGCACGCGGCTCTTGTTCGGTTCTTCACAAACCGGCTTCCGTGGGGCCCGCGAATGAGACTCGTCCCTGTGGAGAGCGCGGGCGGCCCCCTGGCCCTGAGCTCGCTGTGACCGTGTGTCTTTCTTCCGCAGATGAAATCAGCCAATATTTTAGTCAGTTTGGGTACGTCAAGAAATGCAGCCTGCCGTTCGTAAGTATGAGCCCCCTCCCCTGCAGCGCAAACGGATTTACTGGTGTCTGCCAGCAGGAACTTTTCCTGCTGAGGCAAGAGGTGGGTGAACAGAGGCGAAGGCTAGTTCTGGTATTTGCAGGCCTCAGTGGAAGAGTGTACTCATCAGACGTTTCTCAGAGCTCAGTCAAGTTGTCAAGAAGTCTTGGGTTTGGACAACGCTTTTCTTTCTCTAAATGTTTGTCTTTGCTGCTTTAGATTGCTTAAACAATTTGTAACTCGTGCCAGGTACTTCCTAATTTTAGATACATTTAGATGTTTATGATAACTGATATTTGGATAACACTCGAAAGTGGGAAAAGCAAGAGCTGTGAGTTTGGACTCTTGGCTTCTGTTAGTGTTGCTGCTACTTGGGCCTGGTCACTTGGGGCCATAATTTGCCCATCTGCACGATACTCAAAATAACAAAAGAGCCTTGAGCTCATCTGCGCCAAAGCATTATGAAGGTACAGAGCTAACAAATAAGTTGTCTTTTGCTTGATTTGAGCAGGTTTTTGGGTCTTCATCTTACTTGACAGCTAACAGTGTGTCTGTTTAAGGATAGACATACAGACAGCAATGGAGCTAAATGGGATGGCCCTTAAAATTCTTTTCATTCTTCTGTAACTCAGAAGGTAATCGTGGGATCATCAGGCCCTGGGGACTGTCAGAAGATACCTATCTCTAGGAGAAGTAGCATGAATACATGTGGAGTATAGTGTTTCAGCTAAAAAGTGTTGTAGCCCAAGTTCTTTCAAATATCTTGTGTAAATGTTTAGGGATTTAATTCATGATGCTGAAAAACTCCATTCTGAAATCTCCCATCTCTCTTTCTCTAATTCTGTCTCAAAGTTAAGCATTTCCTTAATGCTGCCTTTGAGTTAGCAGATCACATTTCTTTCCACTTTCTGGACAAGTGTTCATTTAAGAAACTGGAACAGTCACCTTCTTCCTTTAACTTGCTTACCTTGGGATTATAGAAGAAAATGTATTGAGTGAGCCCTCTGTTGTTCCTACTTTTTTTGGTGTAAACAATGGTAACATGATGGTCCAAGGATATGAGAAACAAGATTGGTGAGGTTATGTATCATATACTTGACTGGTGCTCTCTCAGACCTGACAAAAAGTACCTTAAACCTTGGCTGCAGGGGTCTAGGTTGTAGCCGTGTTGGTCTAAGGATATAGGCAGACAAGGTTCCTTGGGTGAATTTGATATCTTTTATTAGACCAGTTAATATACCTCATCCAATGCACCAAATGCCCTGATGGAAGATATGTAGGAGAGACCAGACAACAACTGCGCACCAGAATGAATGCACACTGGAAATCCATCAAGCAGCCCCTTACAGGCTGGAACTCTGTCAGCCTGCTAGGGAAAAGCCATAGTTTCACACATTTTTCTCCTTTAAAAGAGAATCCATTTTTAAAGCATCTCCATGATCCTTTCATGTATTCTTGAGACCTGTTTTTGGGTCAAGACCCATGTGTTGAGAAACATTGCTTTAGAAGATCTAGCTGTTTCACCTGGCTCTCCCTTTTGTGAATAACAACTCACTTTTAAACAGTTCCTTTATTTGAAAGGAATTTAGGAAGTTGTAGTTTTCTCTGCCTGTGTGGCTAAGGGCAGTTTGATGTTGCAATGTACTTTCATCGCATCTTAGACAACTGTTTCCCTCACTTGTCAAATTCCTTTCCAGCACTGAAGCAGTCTCTTATTTTCAGATCAACCTTCCATTTAAATGTCACTTATGCTATGGATTTCTGGGTTATGGGTTGTGACTGCAACTTGGAATAAACATATCTGTCATTGTTTGGAAGTGAAGTTGAAAAGATTAATTAATTCTTCCTATATCTGATGCACTGAAGGAGAGGGGAACAAAGCAGTGCTTGTTTAAATTCTGATTCGCAAAGCAGATGGGTGTAAGTGGTTTGAGGAGAATGGGGTGGGTTTCTGAAAGAAGCAGGCCTTTACTCTTCCAAATTCTCTATCCACTTAAAAAAAAATAGCTGCAAAAAGGAAGCTTGATACAAAGCATTACATGCATATTGTTCTGTCTTTATAAAATAAAATTTTATTTAAAATAACCTGGCTTTATTTTAAATTGGGTGTCTAGGATGAAACAGGATTTCACAAAGGCTATTGCTGGATTCAGTTCAACTCACAAAGCAGCACGAACAGAGTGTTAAAGAATTCCCACACTTTAGAGGGAGCCCAGGTAACAACTTTCTGTTGAATCCTTAATCAAATGATTTATTCTGCTGGGTTCTACCTATGTTTACTTCATTCTGAGTAGGTTACTGGCAGTGAAGCAGGGTGGGGATCCCAGCTCAGGATACAGTAACTTGTTTATTGTAATTAAATAGTCAACCATAAGATTCTAAATTTAAAACTTTTTCTAAAATCTTTCCTCCTTTCCCCTCTAGCTTAACTAAGTGGTCTTGTAATGTGTTGTAAAGGTCAAACCGTAACTATTCTGGACAAAAACACGATCCTAAAATAGCCTTGAACCCAGTTCCCTGCACCCAAGAGTGGGGAAACTCTTGCATGTGTTCTTAATGTATGCTCATGTAGATGGACATTGTCTTGCTTCCTGTGTATTGCTAGGGACAAAACATTCTAACTTAAAACATTTCAAATTGCACAGCAGCCCATAGCATGTCTGCCCATTGACACAAGTGTAACTAAAAGTAGCTATTTGCTGCACTTCTGAGAGGGTTATAACATGGCTTCAGGTAGAATTAATGTAATTATTCTCTCTGGAGGACAAATGCTTGTGGCAGCATCTGTATCTAAATGTATAGAAAGGGTAAAAAGGTGGTGTTTGGTCACTGTATAGTACCTGGAAATCTAGAGCAAGGTAAAGATCGAGCAGAAGCCTGAAATTTTTGTATTAAAGGAGGGTATGCTTCTGCTCGATCTTTACCTTGCAGAAAGCTGGGGGGCTGGGGTGGGGAAGGCGCAGCATGGATTGTGGCATATTGGGCGGGGGGAGGGTGGCTCCTGCTGATGTGTGCTGCTTGTCCCATGGCTCATCCAATGCTTGCTTACTCATTCGGTGGTTCCTGGTGGTCTTTTTGTTGCTTGTCCGGGGAGGGGGTGCCCCCAGATATGTGCGAGGTGGCAGGGTAGGGCTGCACCAAACTCTTCCCAACAGGGTAGAGCTGCACTGAGAAGAGAAACAATGAATTTGTGGCTGCAGGCCACCCCTGTAGCCCCTTCCCAGTGCAGCCCCAGCCTGCCCTGGCCTGCGCAGATGTGGGGGTGCATACCCCCTTGGACGAGGGATAGGAGCCACCAGACTAGCAGTAGAAGCTGCCCTCCTCCTCCCTTGCAACCAACCACAGCTCTGGGCCATGCCTGCCCTGGAAGGGCAGTGCTTGGCCCTGCCCCATACCCTTCCTCACTGTGGGGGCCTTGAACTGCCTCCTCACACATGCTTTTCCTCCCCCCTCCCCTTCCATCACACCCAACTTACCAGCTGGAGGCAGCTCTCAAAAGGTATGGGACTGTACTCCTTGCCTCCTGTGTTGTGCTGCATCTGTGCACAGGCCATTTATCAGTCAAATTATTGGCCTGATGCGGCCGATTTCCGATATAGTAAATTTCCTTTGTATCAGTGCCAATGTGATATCAGACTGATGTATCGGTGTACCTCTAATCTGTACATAGTAGAGGAAGGTTTCACCCTGTGGTAAAGTAGCATGATAAACGTAAAAGTAGCTCTCTAGTTCTTGCGTAGTGCTTAAAAGCTGACTGCTGTTCAGTCCTTATCAATTAAGTTTCAGTCACTCAGAAGTGCTCAGTGTAAGGCAATGAGTTTCTTCCTCACTGTAAAAAGGTCCACTGGCAATTTATCCTAGTACATTCCAGGCAAGTGCCTCAAACAGTTACTTTCTATTAGTTCTACATGAAATTCCCAGGAAGCTCTTAAAATGTATTTTACTAGGCTAAATATGATTTACAAGGCAACACAGCTGTCTTTAACCTTCTTGTTGGGAACTTGGAATCTGTGCTCATGGAGGATGAAACCACACTTTATTGTAAATGAGAATACCTCTAACAGCATGTCTTGAATGAAACTGGGGATAACTAGAGTGAAACATCAAGACAGTGACTTTAAACAGGTGACTTTTTTTTTTTTTTCCCAGCTCCAGGTCCTGAAATCACGCCAGGGCCTTGCTGAAGTAAACACCTTACTTGCTGACATGGATTAACACTGGAAGGAGGCTTTTTATTACAGTGGCATGTAATGCATTTAAAATAAAAGATTATTGACAAACTGTGGATGAGTATGGGATTTGACAGAGTCTAGCTGGTTCCTCTTCCAGCAAAACTATACAGCCACAGCAGGGGAACACCAAATCATAAGGTCCCCCCTGCCATACTTCCATTACAGCATAAGCAATGGCTAGCTATATACACCAGATGTACTTTCATCAGATGAAGTAAAAAGCTTTAGCTAACTAGACAGAACTAAAGCTCTAAACAGGAGTACCCTCTTACCCTGAAATGCTGAAAGAGTTCTCATGAGTATGAGAGCAGAGGCCAAAGTTCTGTCTACAAAAATAACGCCCTTATTAATGGTTCAAAATGGTTTTCCCCTTCCCCCATTTCCTATGGGTAGTTATCTCCAAAGAATCCATGTGCGTAGCCTGTACATTGCTTTCTTACATAACCATCCCACTGTGCACCCCTGCTGATAGATTAAAAGTGCTATTAGCATGGAGTCCAGGGGTTCAGTCCATCCTTGCTGCTCAGAGGCCAAGCCACTCACTCCTTCCTCCTCTTCTTGCCCTCATGCTCATGTTCCTTGGGGCGGCTGCTATCAGACGGCCTCTTGGAACCTCCATGCTGTTTGGCTTCTTCTAAGAACTTATCCAGACCAAATGGATCTTCCTCAAACTGAACTGGTCCCTCTCTGCCCCTCTGTCTACGGTCAGAGCCAGAAAATTCCTTCTCGGGAACAAACCTGCAGCAGGAGAGAGATTACATTCCATCCATTTGCTATTAAAATTGAAAAGCAAAGGAGAAGACTGATATGCTCTCTCTCTCTTACCTGTTTGTCTTTATTCGAGCCTCTAGATCATCACCATACATGTCCTTATCCACATTTTTGTTTGGTCTGTAAATGTTTTGGGCCATGTCTTTACCACTTCTCCAGGGTTGGTCATAGACATTGTAAATTTCATCTTCTCCTCCAGCAAAGCCACTATCCATACCCTGGAAAGGGGGAGGATAGGTAAGAATGAAGGTAAAAACCAGAACAAGATGCTTGGACTTTACAGAACTCAGCTGATTTAAGTAAGTGCTTTGTAACACCCATTTCTAATTAAGTCTGCTAATTGCAACCACACTGCAACAAAAATACCTAATCTAATTAAGTCTATTGATTGCAACCATCTGTAAAACGAGCAGAAGAGACTATGGATGATACTTTGGCCCTGTCCTGAAATGTAGTCCTTTAAATACACAATTTTACAAAGTTTCAGCCTGGAAAAAAGATGAAGGCTGATTTTTGCAATAATAAAAGGAACAGTTAGTTTAGAACTTTAGTCAACTGTCAGAAAGAGAATGTTTAAATTTTTGAGAGTCATAATACTGAAGAACTACAGTATGAACTGCTGCTTTTCCTTGTGGGTCTTTCACAGCTGGTGAAATCAAATAGGAAAAAACAGGGAGGCTGAAGAAAACCTCATCCAGAATGATGATTTAAAAGTGCAGAAGGACCCCCTAAAACCTGTTACTGTTAGCAATTTAGATGTAAACAACAAGTCAGAATCAGCTAATTACAAATTTAACAACTGTTTACTTTCAATCTTGGAACATCAACCTTTACCTTTATGGTACATTTTCCCTATTGAAATGCATTTGGTGCTCTAGGGGAATAGTGGTCTTCACTTTTATATGAAACTCCTCTAGTCCTCAAGTGTAAGAGCAACATTCTCTCTCGGCAGACAGCCATCATACATTTAAGCATTCAAAACATCCATCCACCATGGCATCAGCACTAAATGAGAGCGCAGAACAGACAGTTGAAGCAAGTTGTACTCTGTCTGAGATGCACCAGTCTTCCTTCAGAACTCATTCACACATCTGACAAAATGGGGTCAATTCCAGTTCTCTACTCTGCCTTCTCCCTCTGAAAGGGTGAGTTGAGCCAGCATGTCCTTTTTAAAATCCCACAGAATTGAGAAGCTCACATCCATTTACCTTGCTCTGGTTGAAGAGCCTCTGGTCATACTGGACTTCACTAGATGTTCGAGGGTTGGGAACACCTAGAGCAATAACTTCACTGATATCTCTGTTCTCATTTCTCTGCAGCTTTGACCTAAGTTAAAAATATAACCAAGTACACACTGTTTGTCAGGCAAACTCAACTGCATCAATTAAGAAACTGCTATCTAATGCTTCACTAGTAAGTTCATAGATTCATAGAAGAAGGGTCAGAAGGGACCTTGTAGATAATCAAGTCTGACCCCCTGCCCTGGGTAGGAGGAAAACCAGGCTCAAATGACCCCAGCCAGGTAGACGTCAAGCCTCCTCTTAAAGACCCCCAGGGTCGGAGCCATCATCACTTCCCTTGGAAGTTGTTTCCAGATCCTAGCTGCCCTGACTGTGAAGTAGTGCCTTCAGATGTCTAATCTAAACCTACTCTCTAACAATTTCTGGCCCTTATTCCTTGTTAGCCCGGGGGGGGGGGGGAGGAGGAGGAAGAGGAGGAGGCAGGCACTAGGGGGAACAAGGTCTCTCCCAAACCCTGCTGGTCCCCCCACTAGTGAGTTTATAGACGGCCACCAGGTCCCCCTCAGCCTTCTCTTGGGAAGGCTGAACAGGTTAAGGTCCCAGAGCCTCTCTTCATAGGATCTGCCCTGCTGTCCCCGGATCATGCGGGTGGCCCTCCTCTGGACCCTCTCAATGCTGTCCACATCCCTCCTGAAGTGCAGCGCCCAGAACTGGACGCAGTACTCCAGCTGTGGCCTAACCAGTGTCGCATAGAGGGGGAGGATCCTTGCCTTGCTCATGTTTGGTAAGTAAAGCTTATCATGTGGTCTCTTGGCAAGGAAAACATTTTGAGAAAAAAAAAAGTCAAGTTGCTATAGCATCCAAGTTAACCTCTCCACCGTTCATAATGTTGCATCCAACCTGTCTAGAAACTGCAGTATTGTTTTTGCTGAAAACCAATATCAAAGGCAATTTGATAGGGTTAGTGATCTGGGAGTTGTGAGCTGAGAATTTGAACTTCCTGTAGTGAACAAGCCTATTAAAGCAACCTCATGGGTATAGGATGAAGTGTCTAAACTCAATTATAAGTGGAAAGGATCCAGGAACCAGATGTGTGAAATCCTGGTCTCACTAAAAATCAATTGTAAAATTCGTATCAACACCAACAGGGCCTGACTTTTGACCTGACTGTCTACACATTTCCTAAGTTCTAACAACTTAAGAGTCTATTCATTATTAACCTTCTCTGTATTGTTGTCAACCAAATGGTGTCTGGCCTAGAAAAATCTGAAGATTAGATAACTAGCTTGACATCTATGAGTCAAATAGCTTCTGATCAAGATTAGATTCTGTAGGCTAGGCTGAACATAGCAAACCTGTCACAACAGAAGTTCTTGTAATTCTATGAATTACACCTGCATTTTCTGTAAGCTAGGGCTTGAAAAATTAAAAAAAAAAGTTCATGCACCCTTATAAGTAAGGCTATGATTTTGGCAGGGTTGTTTTTAGTAATTTTTGTATCAGAGGTGAGGAAAAAGCAGCAATACTCATGGAAAGAACAAAACAATGACCCTTGTGGTATAAAGTCCATCTGTGAGCACAGCCTTACAGGTAGAGTCTGTTTTAAATTGTGGGTCCAGCTCACAGCATGGCAGCTCCTTTAAATCTTGGGAGTTCCCCCCACATACCCCCCTGCCTTGATTGGCAGAAGGGCCTGTTGGTTCTGCCATTTGCTCCTGATGGCTGGGAGGCGAAAACCAGTTTCAAATATGCTGCAGGTTTTGCCTCACACTGCTTACTGCTGACCAGACAGGAGACAAAACCACAGCACATTTAAAACTGCAGTTTTTGCCTCCCAGCCATCAGAAGCAAGCCACAGGGCTCCTCCACCAGATCAGGAGTGGCAGCGGGGAGGGGACAGAACATGGGTGGAACTCCAAGATTAAAAGAGCTGCCATGCTGCAAGCTGGGCCCAAGATTTAACCCAGGCCCTACTTATAGGAGCTGCAGCATGGATGTCTAGCATCCCATTTTCCCCCCTACTGGCCAATAAGCCTGCTTTGTTTCATTATTTTTAAGCACAGCCTCATGGGAGCTCCCATTCTTTCCTAAAGGCAATATACCCCATGAACCTATGGGTACCATCCTTTGACAAAATAGCAAGGTACCTGATGAGAGCCAGTCTTCAAATTCAAAGGTTTCTATGATGCTGTGACAATATCATAGCCTTGCCTACCAGTCCTAAACTCAGAGTCAAACATTTCCTACAGAAGTTACACACACTGGTAGAGATTAAGTCCCCTAACAGATCAGATTACTCTATCTACTAATCTTGCTTCAATGACAGTGCAACCCCTTATTGGGCAGTTCAGACACCTGCATTAGTCAGATGGAGAAGCCAGCATGAGAACATCTAAACAAGCTGCTTTTCCTGACTCACCTCTTGTCAGGGGCTGCTCTGGAAAGATTCCTGTCATGCTGTCTCTCTTTGCGCCGGTCATGTCTGATTTCATCTCTCTCTCTAGCTTCTCCATCCTCTGTACAGACACATTTAAGATTGTTCATTATGTACAGTCACTTGTTATCTGAGTTAATTAAACTTCAGGTCATCACAGTAACTGAACTCTATTCATTTAGAAAAAAAAATGAAGGGCCTTTAATTCAAAACTACATTAGATTTTAAACCAACTGAAAAAGCAGAATTAAAAAAACATATTTTTTATGGCAAGCATGCAATTGGGCTTGCCAAAACAGGTGAAGGGTCTAGTCTCTGCTATAACTGTTTATTCCTGGTTTCCAAGGGTTTAGGTTAAATCCATATAAATTATTTCCCTCTGCTCTGCCTGGGAATTAATACCTGTTAACTCCCATGGACATTAAAGGTGCATCACAGTGATAAGTCCTCCTGTACCATGGATAATGGTGGTGGTAACTATTATTATTCAGATTTATATTCCACTCTATCCAGAAAGTACCCCTTTGTGTTATTAAAATTAGCCATTGGTATCCAAAGATCAAATCCAGGCATGCTAGCATTAGCTGTGTTCAAGAACATCCA